CCCCCCCCTTCTTTTTTTTTAATTGCCAAGGTTGCATTTTATGACATCCGATTCATCCTCTTTTCAGAAAACCATTTGTGAGGGTTTTTTTGTTTGGTTGGGTTTTTTTGCTGTTACAAATGCAGGTTTGAAAGCTCTTGTACGTGACTCCTAGTGTCACATAATTTTTTAGGGTTAAGAATAGAAAGTGAGTTGCTGGGCTATAGGGTGTGTGTTTCTAAAACTTTACTAGTTAATGACAAAATATTTTTCAAAGTGATTGTACCATGTTACATGCCCACCAATGGTGTATGTGTGTTCTTGATACTGCCACACTTTAAGTTTTACAATCTGGTGGGTGTAAATGCATCTAATTGCTTTTAATTTCTTTTTTCCGGATTATTAAGGAGGTTGAGCATCTTTTCATATGTTTAATGGCCATTTGTGCTTTCTCTTCTGTGAAATGCCTGTTCTCTCTTTTGCCCTTTTTTATTGTTATTTTGTCTTTTCAAATGGACTTTTAGGAGGTTTTGTTTAGTTTATTCTGACTATCAGTCTTTTGCCAGTAAAGGTATTGAATTATCTTCCAGTTTATAGCTCAGCTTTTCACTTTTTGATGTCTCCTGATGAAGTTAAAATGTAACATAATTTTTCAGCTTTCCTTTTGCTTTGCATTTTCTGTGTCTTAAGATATCCTTCCCGCCCGGCCGGGTGTGGCTCAGGGGTTGAGCATCGACCTAGGATCCAGACGATCGGGTTCGATTCCCTGTCAGGGCACATGCCCAGGTTGTGGGCTCGATCTATCTGTCTCTCCCCCCCTCCTTTCCTCTCTCTGAAATCAATAAAGATATATTAAAAAAAAAAAAAAGATATCCTTCCCTATTCTGAAGCCATAGAGATATTTACCTTTATTTCCAGAACGGAATTTAAAGCAGAAATGATTCTTCATGAGTATTTTTCTTACAGTTAGTTCAGTGCCTTTGAAAAGCAGGGTTATTATTCTCATACCAATTGAGAGCTTAAAAAAATTGAAAAAGAAACGTGTTTGCACTAAGGCAAAAAGAAGCTTGGTTCTGCGAGGTGGTAATTAGAGACAAAGACGTTTTAGTGCAGCCACATCATGTTGGTCTCTGCTGTTGTTGTTCAGAGGTAAAAATGTTTGCCTTCAGTTTCTGATTCTCATTATTTCTGCCTTTTGTTTTGTAGGTACAAGTCTAATTCTGCTCAGCTGCTCGTTGAGGCTCGAGTTCAGCCCAATCCATCAAAACATGTGAGTGTCTCCTTGAGTAAGACTTCTCCCCCATGTACGTGGCTCTTGCTGTGGCTCTACAGTGTTACTGAGAACCATCTTGCTTTGTTTACAGTGCAACATGCCTAAAGCATTTGTTCCAATATAGACTTAAATCTTTCATTTCTATTATAGTTTGAAAAGTTCCCTCATAGATGAGTACATCATTGCCAGTCTGGGGGGCCTCTTCAGCCTTGTTTTCACCTTTGCACTTAAACACAGCCTGCACTCCGTTCCTGCGGGATCCCTGGTATTCTCAGCTCACTGCATGCCTCTGACTCTGCTTGTGCCTTCCCTGGCCTGGAATTTTCAGACCTTGTCCCCATCTTTGTTTGTGGGAATAGAACTCAATTTTAAAGACCCAAATCCAAGCTGTCTCTCACAAACCTGTCTCCTATGATCACTGCCCTCCAAACTCCTCTGGTTATATCTTTAGACCTTTATGTGGTATAGTGTAGTGATTCAATCATCTTTTCAGTTCCCCTACCAGACTGTAAATACTCTAAGGAAAGAAACCATAGCCTACAATGCCTAGCAGTTTCCTGTGTATGTAGAAGTTCAACAAACATTTGTCAAATGAATGAGAACCATGTTGAAAGAGCCCTTAGGAGGGAGAATTGGGGCTCAGGTCTTCTACATAACTTCTGCAGCCTCTTAGAAGAAAATTTTCAGGCACGTACTGGATAAACATAGGAATACAGTCCTTTTCCTCAAATTTTTTTTTGTATTTCCAGTGAACTAACAAGAACCTAATGTAAACTTATAGTGGGCTTTTCCGTGGGTTGTGGTTTTGGCCAGGGGTCTCCGGATTGTCTTTATCTGCCAGTTTGTGTAGCATGGCATGGATCCTGGAACTCAAACTATACAGTTATTTGCCCACATCCTAGAAGAGTTTCTTGCCTAGTAGGAGGAGCCTTCCTCATCCCTCTAAATTAATTGTATGGCATCTCTTCCATGTGTTAAGGATGAGTTGTAATTTGGCAAAAACTATAATTTGTATTTTGGGCATATTGACTTTGGAAAGCAAATCTATTGTCTTTTGATAAGTGAAGCTGCAGTGTAGGCCATTAAAAGCTTTACACAGCCTCAGAACCGTAATGACTGGGTTTGTAGTACTTGTCGAGGAGCATCTCTGGGCTCTGCTGAACGGAGGGACTTTACAAAAGAAACACAATAGCCTCAAAAAGAAGTTGTTGGACTGAATGACTTCTAAGGACCTTGACAATTCTGAAATCCTGAGCTTTTCAGCCTGACACTGTTAAACTACTCTAAGTTTTTATTGTAGCCTTCTCTCTGCTTCACTGAATCCCAGTGATTCTACAAGCCCAGGTTATGTGCTACCTCCTTCAGGAAGCCTTCCTGATAGGTGCGTTCTGCTCAGAACTCTTGGGACTCCCAGAGTTCACACATTGCAGCTGAGTTCTGACACTTATTGCAGGGTCAGGATTGCCTCCCATGCACCTAGCTACACAAGGCATCCCTGTTGCCTCCCAGGAACTGAAGTCTCCTCTTTGACTCATATGGCTCTGCCTCTCCCCAGGTCCCCACAGCCCATCCCCCTCACCACTGCGCAGTGTGTATGCAGTTTGTGCGGAAGGAAAACCTACTCTCTCTGGCCTGTCAGCACCAGTTTTGCCGCAGCTGCTGGGAGCAGCACTGCTCAGTACTTGTCAAAGACGGCGTGGGTGTGGGTGAGTCTGCTATAGAACTTATAAAAGGCCGGCATGAAGTATTTATCTCTGACTCTGCCCTTTCAGGTACTCAGCTCAACTGCGTATCTTCTTTTGAGCCTGATTGACGACATTGTCAGAACCATTGCTTTCCAAACACATCAGTCTGAATAGTGGCAAAGTTTTCCCCAGTCCTGAACAAAATGAGAAAATTAAGGCTATTATTTGGGCATATATGTAAATGTTGGTGTAAGTGCAGGGCTACCTCTTGGGAGACTTTTGGAACAACTGTCCTTTAAGCTGCCTACCCTATTTTGATTCCCCAAGTGGCAACCATAACTCAGAAACAGAGAATTTGCTTTTTTTAAAATATATATCTTTATTGATTTCAGAGAAGAAGGGAGAGAGAGAGAGAGAGAGAAAGAAAGAAACATCAATGATGAGACTTGACATTGATTGGCTGCCTCCTGCACGCCCCCAACTGGGGATCAAGCCTGCAACCCGGGCGTGTGCCCTGACCAGGAATTGAACCTTGACCTCCTGGTTCCTACGTCAATGGGTAACCGCTAAGTCACGCCCGGCTGGGCGAATTTGCTGCTATTTAGGTAACATCACAAATCAAATTTGATAGTTGATTATAAGAGTATTCGTTATACTGTAACTTGATGATATTGAAACAAAATTGGCATCCCATTAATTGTGTCTGCAAAATCTCATCTGTTGGTGGGAAGCACTTGCACATAATATTAAACATTATAAAACTAAATTGTTAGGAACCATATAGGATTTTTCAAATGATATTTTTAGTGGTGCTATTTGTGATGTATATGTAATTTGGTATGATATTTTAGTTGCATCACTGTGCAAATATATTAATTTCTCTCTTTGGATAAATTCTGTTGCTTCAAGGGTTTCCTGTGTGGAACCAAATTTGTGGTAGAACTCAGTGAGCAAATTAGTATAACTTTGACTCCTGCAATATAGTTGTCAAATTAGGTTGTCTTTGTTCAACAGGAGTCTCTTGCATGGCTCAGGACTGCCCACTTCGAACACCAGAGGACTTTGTATTTCCATTATTGCCCAACGAAGAACTAAGAGACAAATACAGGCGCTACCTCTTCAGGGACTATGTGGAGGTATGGCCAGCTCCTGTGGTTATGCTCTCTGTCTTCCTGGGCCTACTTTCTCCATCAGATGCTCACTATAGTTGCTTTATAGACAAGGCTGCCATTAGGTACTGGCATTTGAAGAGTTCTGTGGCTTTAAAAATGTTTGAAAACCTCTAGAATGGTAGCAAAGAACACAGACCCTGGAGTCAGACAATTGTGTGAATTCCAGGTCTGTTACTTTCTCGCTGTGTAACCTTCTACCCATTATTTTACCTCTCTGAGCCTTGGTTTTCTCTTATAGAATGGTCAGTCATCCCCACCTTAAACACATTGCTTAAACAGCAGTTGTATGCCAAGGTTTAAACACAAGTCAGGCATCATACCAGGAATTGCTGTTCCATTTGGTTCACTGTGTGATTCAGCACAGAGAAAGAGTATTGCTTCTTGTGCAATTTGAAAACTTGCCCAAGATCCCAGCATGGTCAGTGTTAGAGCTCTTCCCTTCTATTGGGCTACCGCTTGCTAGTTTCATGCAACATAGTTTTCATCTTTTTTATGCCTAAGCGTACTGGATTAATTGATGGTCTGTATTGTCTCCTCATGCACATGCTGCAGGGTAAACACAATGTCTTGTTCCTTGTGCTGTTTGCTGCTTTTGATAAATGCCTGAGGGTTGTTGAGCCTCTCAGAATCTTAGGCACAGCCACTTAGGCTGTGTTCCTTTCCAGCCCTGGTCCCTTCACATATTCATCTCACAGATACAATTCTGTATCCCATTTTGTAATCTAATCGTAGACCATTCTAGTGAGTTGCTACCTAGTTTAGCAAAGCATTCAAAGGTCTTCAGTATCTTTCTAATGTCTGGTCTTCACAACATTCATCTTGAATTCCTATAACCTCTTGATGTAAGTCATCAGCTAGAAGAACAGAAGGTGTTTGAGCGCTTGGGGATGTCTAATTTGGAGGCAGCAACTAGAGGATGACCTCTTGTTCCCCCTTGGTGTGTTCACAGAGTCATTACCAGCTCCAGCTGTGCCCTGGTGCAGACTGCCCCATGGTCATCCAGGTACAAGAGCCCAGAGCTCGCCGAGTCCAGTGCAATCGGTGCAACGAGGTCTTCTGGTAAGAGTGAGTGTGGGTGCCAAGCAGCCCTGGGCTAGTACCTTCTCCTTCAAAGCACCATTGCTATTTCTCTGTGTGAGGGTGGAGCTGGGAGAGAGAGAGCCTTTGAACCAGAAGAACAGCTCTGCTCTGGGTGGGCAAGGCTTATACCTAACATCTCCTGTTCTGTATTGTGTTTGATAATGCTCAGTCTGGAGACAAGAAAGTGACACAGATTCTTGGAGAATGTGCTATGGTTTATGCTACTAAGATTCATGGCCCAAAGATTGTATGTGTCTATCTACCTGCACAGATAATTTACGTATTATTGTTTATAATCTTCGACGTTTTAATCTTTATCTATTACTCACAAATGTGGTGTACATCTACTTGGGATTTACTTCATTCAGTAAAGATGATGGGAATAGCAAAGTGTACTGAGGGTTTAAAGGCACTGCCCTGGTCAGTGTACCTTCAGTTTCTCCACAGTGTATGGTTAGTACTTTTGTTACCCTTGTTAGGAGAAGAAATTGAGGGACAGGGTATTGGCAAGAGTCATCATTAGGTCCAGATCTGTCCTCCTAATCACTCTTTCTGGGAACTTCATGGCTTCAGAGAAACTACATGGAAAGTGTAGCATGTGTGCACATTGCCTGCTTTCAAGACGTCATTGAAGGAGTCTCTGGCTCATCAATGTGAAGAACCAATAATGTTGCTCTCCATCCTTTGTGTCCTGCGTGATGAACTTCTTTCCCTGGGGCATGTGTTAGGCCATCTGCCTAAGAGCCTGTACTATCCATCAAGTTGTGTTGGTTTGGGCAAAGGGGAAATTAAAATCATGGGAGGCCAAGCCTGATGAGCATGTTTTTTTCTGACTATAAGTTTCCTGCGCTGTCAGACGTATCATGATGCTACAGATTATATAAGTTCTGGCATTTGTGCATCCTGTATGCACATTTGGCTTAGAAGATAAGCCAAAGCTCCCAGCAGTGGGTCAAGTGGATCTTGGTCCTGCCTTGGGCCTGAGCTGAGGCATCCTCACCATGCTTGCTGAGAGGCTGAATTCTGAGTTTGACATCCTTTCAGGAAGGGTTGACACCACACAAGATACTTACAACAGAAACTTTTCATTTGGGTTTATTGAAAGGATGTCTTAGAAGGACTTAGATTGAAGAGAAGTATACAACAATATTTCAGTATTATCTCAAGTAAGTAAAGGTCTGAAAGGCCTTTGATAGGTGACTTTTCCTCTGAAAGCTCTAAATCAGCATCTGTTGGCTTGGACAAAAGGAAAATTAAAAACGTGACCTAACGATTATTTGAGTGTTTTTTCTTTTCTGGTTTTAAGTTTCAAGTGTCGTCAGATGTATCACGCCCCCACAGACTGCGCCACAATCCGGAAATGGCTCACGAAGTGTGCAGACGACTCTGAAACAGCCAACTACATTAGTGCTCACACTAAAGACGTAAGGACTGTGTCTTACCTGTCATGGATCTGCCCTCCTTAGTGCTGCCCAGGGCCTTGCCCAGGAGATCTGCCATCTGAGAGCAGAACACCCAGGGGCCAGGGACCTTACTGGAGGCTGCAAACCCTTACCCAGACTTGGTGGAGGTAGCAGCAGTTTATCATAGTATGCGTTGATTGGTGCATTTATTTTAGTAAAATGCTAAAATGCCTGGAAAAGTTACAGCACTAATTAGAGGAAAAAAACACCTGAGTTTTCTTGAATGCCTCCCAGGCTTTAACATCCCTGGGAGGGAGGTGGTTGATAGCCACACCTAATAAATAGCAAGACTCCAATGCAAGCCCAAGCATGCCCAATTCTGTTCTGAAACTTCCCATGGGAAAGCATGGCCCCTTGAGCCCTGGAAGACTCGGCACCCAAGGTGCTACCCTGTGCCAGTCACGCGCTAAGTAATGCACCCACAAACACAGCTGTGACCATGACATCATTAAACGCTATCTTCATGGCACAGCATCTGACTGGTTTCTGCAGTGTTTCCTAGGGTTGCTGTCAGTTCTTAGATGAGAGCAAGCCAGCTTTAGAGGTTGTTTCCTTGCCCAATTCTAGAAGCAGAAGTCCAGGCAAGCTGACCAAGATTTAGTCCAGCTCTTGTGCTGCTTTGACATTCCTCTCAAGCAGGCAGGCTTTCTGCTGACTCAGCTTGTGCTTAATTTGAGCGGCCCATGGCAGGGACAGATGGTGAAAGGCTTAGTGGGGCTCAGCTGGTGCTTGGAGTGTTTCAGAGCCAAACATGTTGACCTCATTTCTTGGATTGCTGTTCCAGCCTCAGCGACCCGCCACATTTAAGTGAGATGCTCCTCCCCAGAAGTGCTCCCACGATGAGTTACTGGGCACGGGTACCAGGAGCTTTGTGTAATTTGTCTTAGAACCGACCTGATGGTGTGTGAGCCTAATGGCGCCCTTCTGTCTCCTCAGTGTCCCAAGTGCAACATCTGCATTGAGAAGAACGGAGGCTGTAATCACATGGTGAGCAGAAGCCTTGCCCTTTGCACATGTGACACAGAGCTTTTGGTCAGCATGCCCTTAACATGTTCTCTTCTGTTTCCCTCTGACAGCAATGCTCCAAGTGCAAACATGGTGAGTCCCAAGCTCGGTGTGCAAGGCCCAGTGTCACAGGCTGTGTTTCTTGTGCATGGGTCTCCATTGCTTGTTTAGGGAACACTTTTCTAATAATGTGACAAAGCAAAGGGCAGCCTCCATCACTTACAGTCATAATATTTATGTAGTATTTTTTGGTCCCTCTTGTAATCCCACTGCCATCTTGCTGACACATGTAGTCAGAAGTCAAGTTTAGGGTGACTCTTTGACCCTCATGATCCTCAGTCATCTAAGAAGATTTTAGCATGTTCTTTTTACTTTTGCCAAGGCAAGTAAGTAGCATGAGTGAGAGGGACATGTATCATCCACTTAAAAGGGGCACACGTACAGTCTAAAGAGAAATAACAAAGTGAACCTCCCAGTATCCACCGCATTCCTAGTACCTAGAATGTCCTCTATTTGTCCCTCCTTAGTCATAGTCTCATCTCTTGCCACCTAGATAGAGTAAATTATCATTCCTTGATTGCTATACAATTTTACCACCTCTATGGGCAACCCTGGGCAGTGTAATGGTATTTAAAACAGTAACAAGCACAACCTAGCTTAATTGATTAAGGAGAGCAACATTGCAGCAACATTGCCACTGTCCAATGAAGACTACCAAGAGGAGGGAAGTGAATGACCTCTGGGTCTTGACTTGGCTTTCCTAAATTTTACAGGAGCATTTTTTAGGAAGTCAGCCAACTTCTGGGAGTGAATCCTGGGAAACAAGGTTTCCCACTGTCAGGTCTCTGGCAGAGACAAAATATACATTGGGTACTGGCCGTCCAACAGAACTGTGGTTGGCCCCTCTTCACTAGACCACAGTAATTGTTTGAATGTATAGCATCCATAAGGGATGTTTATTTTTCTTTGCTTCCCCAATGGGGAAGTAGAGTCATAATTTTGAGCATGAGATGTTGAGTAGCTATAGGTTTTATAGAAATGTACTTTTTGAAAAAGAAGAAAGGGAAAAAGCCTTTATTCCCAGCTTCACGTACAAAGTCTTCCTAGGACAGATGTTGTACGAGTGGGAGGTAGGCAGGAGGGCAAGTGTGTGTTGTGAATGAGCCTCAGTTGGACAAGCTTCTGCTGCTCACAGTGGCATTGACATAGCAGACTAGTGGCCTTTTTTTTTTTTTTTTTAATGCTTTTTAAACTTATTTTTCAGTTGCAGTTTACATTCAGTATTGTTTTGTGTTGGTTTCGGTGTGCAGCATAGCGGTTAGACAGTTACATACTTTACAGTGTTCTCCCTGATATTTCTAGTACCACTTGGCACCATACATAGTTATTATAATATTATTGACTTTGTTTCCTATGCTATACTTTACCAGACTAATGGTCTTATACAGTCCATGTCTGCCTGCATTGCATTAAAAAGGCACAAAGCGTATATGCTTGTGGAACTGAGAATATCCATAGGCTGTTGTTTAGATTGGCAAGGGAAGGCTACAGGGACAGTGGGATATGACTAGAGGTCCACATTCCCCCTGGAAAGAGGCACCCTTAGGAAGTTCTGATCAGGTGACACCCCTCCCCGCCAAAGCAAGATCTGTCTGTCCCCACTGCTTTGCCTTTGGAGGGCTGTGGGCTTGTCCTGGGGGTGTGAATGCCTCTTTCTGTTCTGTGCAGACTTCTGCTGGATGTGTCTAGGAGATTGGAAGACCCACGGCAGCGAGTACTATGAGTGCAGTCGGTACAAGGAGAACCCTGACATCGTCAACCAGAGCCAGCAGGCCCAAGCCAGGGAGGCCCTCAAGAAGTACTTGTTCTACTTTGAGAGGGTAGGTGTCCTCTCTTGTAGCTGCTCCTTGAGAGTGGGCTGCTCCAGTTGGCCTGCTGGAGTGGAATTTCCAGTAACTGGGAGCCAGAGCCAGCATGTGCACATAGAGGTCAGAGAATGGAGCTCCTGCCGTGGCTTCACTCAGCAGCCATGGTTGACAAGGAAGGACATGGTGCGGACTTTGTGTGAATGCTGGATTGAAGGACAGTGAGGGACTATCTGTGCCATCTTCATAGTCAGATTTAGAGGGCAGTTCCTCCCAGGGAAACCCTTCAGAAGCCCATAGAGCATGGCACATCTGGTTTCTGAGTATGATAGACCACTGGCTCCCATTAGTCCTCAGGGCTGGAGCCCTACTACCCCAAAGGGGTAGAGTGATCTGGCAGGCAGACAGTTGCTCCTGGACATGGTTAGAGATGTAGACTAAAGAAATCCCCCTTGTGCACTCTCAAGGACACATAGTCCCCATAAGTTAGATGAGGCTGTGGCCATGCCCTTCAGACAAGGTGTCTATTCTGAACTCCTGTATGAACCTCTGTACCTGTCCAGGAATGTACAGTTTTCTCCTGTCTCTGTACCCTGTAGTGGGAAAACCACAATAAGAGCTTACAGCTGGAGGCACAGACATACCAGCGGATTCATGAGAAGATCCAGGAGAGGGTCATGAATAATCTGGGGACGTGGATTGACTGGCAGTACCTACAGAATGCAGCCAAGCTCTTGGCCAAGGTCTGTACCACCTCACTCTCCTGCTCTCCTGTCAGGCCCAGACCTCTGAGTGCAGGAGAGACTGTAGGGGGCAAGGGGCTTTAGCACCCTGTGCAGCCCTGCATACTTATCTGCTTATGGGTTGACAGTCCCCTATGCTGTGCCTGCTGAGGACCCAGTCCTCTGCTGGATGTCCAGGGGAATTCCAAGAAGAGTGCTCCACTGCCTCTGCCTGCAGGGAAAGAACTGTAGGGAAAACTAGAGTCCTTTCTTTTGTCCCATCCATGCATCACTCAGAGGAAAATAAGAGCTTGTCTTTGGACAGTTACTGAGATAGATGTGTGGACTCCGATGTCCGACTCGAGAGGGAAGAGCCATTGAGGCAGCTGCTGGTAAATAATTCAGTTTGAAAAAGGAACTGTGGGTGTTCTGTGGCCACTTCTGTTTCATTTTTTCCCATGTTGTTCCTCCTTCATCCTTTCTTTGGCCTGGTCTCATTTCTTTCAGGCCCATACCCATAGAGCCAGGTTAATTTGCATGGTGGGGTAAGAATTGTCAAAGCCACCTGAGGTGTACATAGATTAGAATCATAGACTCAGGTACCTTCTCTTCTCTCCTATTGCAGTGTCGCTATACCCTGCAATACACGTACCCGTATGCATACTACATGGAGTCTGGACCCAGGAAGAAGCTGGTAAGGCAAAGCAGTCCCTCTCTACTCTGCCCTCATAGCTTCAGAGATGCCCTAGTTATTCAGAGGGCAGAATTAAAACAAAACTGTCCATTTTCAAATTTTATTTCTCCTCTCAGCATCTCTAAAATAGGTCTCAAGTGCTAGCATTTTGTGTAATAGTAAGGCAGGCATGCTGAGCCCTGAATGCAACCATATATGTAGGGAAACTGGCTGGAAAGGTCTATGGCCACTTGAGAGGTCACTGCCTGTGCTTTGGGAGGATATCCAGCATGCACGTCCCTAATTTATAGTGGACTTTTTACATCTTCACCTAGTTCTTTATCTTAGATATGAGTTGTCCGCCCCCAATCCATTATAAAGTAACCCACCTATTGTCTAAATGTTGAAAAGCAGAAAAACATATCATCTGTAATTCCACCAGAAAGAAATGACCACATGTTAGCATTTTCAAGCCTTTTAAAATTAATATTTATATAATCAAGGTTTTATATATATATATATACACACACACACACACATATATATATATGTATATAATTTTACTGTAACAGCAGTTTATTGTTGCAGCTGTCATCATTTACCAGGCTAGTTAAAACCTTTTTTTAAATTTTATTTATTTATTTATTTATTTTTAATTATTATTACTTTTTAATATATCTTTATTGATTTCAGAGAGAGGAAAGGAGAGGGAGAGAGAGAGATAGAAACATCAATGATGAGAGAGTCATTGATCAGCTGCAGCCCGCAACCCAGGCATGTGCCCTGACCGGGAATCGAGCCCTGATCACCTGGATCCTAGGTCGCCACTTAACCGCTGAGCCACGCCCGGCCAGGCGCTAGTTAATACCTTTTTTAAAATATATTTTTATTGATTTCAGAGAGAGGAAAGGAGAGGGACAGAGAGAGAAACATCAGTGATGAGAGATTCCTTAATTGACTGCCTCCTGCACGCCCCCTACTGGGGATTGAGCCTGCAACCCAGGCATGTTCTTTCACCGATAATCAAACTGTGACCTGGTTCATAGGTCAACACTCAACCACTGAGCCACGCCGGCCAGGCCCATTTTTTAATAGTTGCATAAATGTTCCATTATATGGGTATACCATCATTTGGGGCATTAATTGTTTCTGGTTTTTACTATTATAAATAAGATGTTGAGGAACATCTTTGTGCATAAAGCTTGAATGTACAATTACTAAGATGGTTCGACTATTTTAAGACTTAATTTGCAAAAGGGCTAAAAAAAATGAAGTGTTCAGGGAGTACAATGTCTGTGAATATCCATTCTGACTTGTTTTTACAGCATCTGTTTCCCTATATGTTGGGAGCATTCTCTTCAGTGGCTTAAATTCTTGCCGTATCTTTGCGGGGTGGAGGGCAAGTGTGGTTTTGCCATTTGTCTGTACTCTGAGGTAGCCTTTCGATTGGGTTCTGGCTCTCAGTACAGGGACTAGCACTGCTCTCTGAGGACAGCATCAGGGTTGGCTGTAGCTCATGCGAGCCTGAGGTGCTGCGTCTGCCCCTCCATCTGCAGGCCCTGCCCCTCTCCCTTTGACCCTCCTGCTCTGCCCATACAGTTTGAATACCAGCAGGCTCAACTGGAGGCCGAGATTGAAAACCTGTCATGGAAAGTGGAGCGTGCCGACAGCTATGACAGAGGGGTAAGTGCCTGCTCTCTTCTTGGACCGGCTGTTGCAGACGAGGGAGGACTGGCATGTTAACAGGTGACAGGGTTTTTTATGGGCTGGAAGCTGCTGCTGAGAAGGATGGGATGGGCTGTGCTTTTGACTCCTCAGAGCCCGTCATGGTGGTCGTGGCTTTGGCTGCCCCTGCTCACGGGTCCGGGCCCATACAAACGTACATTTTGCTTCCCTGGTGCAGGACTTAGAAAACCAGATGCACATAGCAGAGCAGCGGAGGAGAACCCTGCTGAAGGATTTCCACGACACCTAGGCTGGACATGGACGTGCTGGAGTGAGGAAGATGCGGCTGCAAGGTCTCCCGGCTGCCATACTGCATGCTGAGGGCTCTGCCTTTCATGACCCCAGGCAGCAGCCAGGGCCCCACTCCTGAGAGACACTGGCCACACACCTTAGTCAATTTCTGTTTTGTTCTCATCTTTCTGCTTTTTGTTTCTACTATGGTAGAGGCCCTGTTGAATTGGCCTCTTCAGGATTTTTAATTCGCCCTGGATGGTTGTTGGGAGGGAGGGAAAGTTTTTTCTGAATGACTATTAATAGTATTAGATCGTTACAACTTATGTAATTTTCAAAGATTGTATAATTGTACAAAAAAAAAAAAAAAAAAAAAGACCAACCATAGAATTACACAGAACCCTTTTAAAAAATAAATTGGCATTGGAGTGTTTTACCCTCTAGCTATTTTACTTAGAATGTAACATGCTGCCTGCCCACCCTTCCTCTGAATGTGTACTGTAAGAGGGTCCCAGGGTGGCCTCTGCTTCCAGATTCACTTGGTGTTTGGCCGCAGCTGGGGTCCCAAGGGAGAAGCATGGGTGGCAGATGGGGAATTGAGTTAGCCTGTGAAACGGGCATGGCACACAGGGAATCACATCATGCCTCCTGCCTGTTCCTTGTAGACCCTTTTGTGGTCAGGTGCACCTGCCTTACCTCGGCAGTGAGCAGACAGTACAGAACAGGGTCTCGCCATGAAGAGTCTGATCGTCTCTGATGGCGCTGCTTGTCTGCAGGCTCATCTTTATTCTTGAAGGTGAGGCTGGGTCCGGCTACTGAGGCCAGAGCCACAGCAGAGCATAGCTGGTCTTGTGGCCTCCAGACAGGGGACGGGAGTTCAGCACAGTGATTCCTTTTGTCTCCTAAAGATAGAGATCCCCTTTCAAAGGGAATTGTTCCCCAAAATAAATTTGTTCTAGCTTGGTCCATTCTTTTGTGCCAGTATTTAAGTGGTGTAACTGACCAAGTTCACACGCAGCCATACCTGACACTGTCCTGCTACACTCTCCTCTGGTGAACTTAAGGGTCAGAGTGCAGCGTGGCCCTCGTGAGGGCGCTGGTCTTCCTGGCCCAGGGGCCTTGTTTGCACAAGTTGTTTTCATGTTACCTGGAGTGTGTCCAGCAGCTGCTCCCCCTCGCCTGATTTCAGGTGTTGGGAGGGCACCACCTCTAGGGTCTGGGAGTCAGACCAGGAGTCCTTGGTCTCTGGTCCCAGCTCCTGTAGTAGGAGGGGCTGGCCAGGGGAGAAGGCCAGTTTTTGCACAGTTGAGCCCAAAGGAGCAGGTGGTTTGTGTAGTGTCTTACCTGTCCTGAACCTGGTCCTGTGGGCCTTTGAAAAATTAAATCCGATTCTCGGGGTTTCTGTGGCTTTGATGCCTGCACTCTGAGGCTGGCAGAGCTGTCTATGCTCGACAGGGCCTGCTTGACCTCCTGGAAGAATTGCTTGGGAGATGGATGAATATTGTGTTGGAAATTCTTTGATATTCAAACATTTTCACCTCAGCAATTTTCTAGGAACCATGGTTGTAAACTGAATTACTCTTGAAGACAGAGGACAGCTTGGGGTCATGGGTACACAGCTGGGTGCAGGCTCCCTTTCTCCCTACTCAGGTTTTGTCTGTTCCTGTTATCTCTTGCAAAGGGAGGGACTGTGGGGTGGAGAGGGGGAACAAATTAGAAGAGTAGCAAATGAAGCCAGAATTGGATGGCGGGGAGCTCACTGACCTAGGAGAGTGCCTGATGTGGGACCTGGGGTGGGATGTGAATGCTTTGTTGGCACATGGATGATCCTGGCTTCTTACCTCTCCATCTTTGTGTCGCTGACATGGCCCAGGACCTGAGTTGCAGCTCTGCACCTTAAGTCACACACACCCTGGGCATCTCTGGGCATTTTTTGGACCGCACAGCTACTTTGTAATGTATATGCATCCAGCTGTGGTCCTAGCCACTGGCACTGCAGGAAGTTTGGTGCCTGGACCACAGCCTGCAGCCCTTGACCTGTGGAGAGCTTCCTTTTGTCCCCCCAGCGGCCATCGTAAATGGAAAGGTCAGGCAGAATTGTTCTGCCCTGCGAAGGATAGAAGATCAAGACGGCACTGTGTTTCATGAATTTACCGTATATCTTTGTTTCTTCAAAGAAAAGGTTGAGGTAATGTCATCTGCTCAAAGTTGAGTGGTTTATTCAAAATAAACTGAAAGTTTCTGATTATAAAAGTATGTGTAGATTTCTTTCTTCAAAGGATCCAAGTAGCCTCCTGAGCCAACATCCCAGAGGGTCATGGCCCGTGAGCACCAAATGAGGGCCTGTATGCTGGTCAGCACCTCCTCCAGAGGGCTGTGGAGGCTCCGCTGGCCTGACTGCCTTTATTCCTTTTCTGGCTTTTTCGGGGGGGAGGGGACCTGCGGAGGGATGTGGAATGTCCAGGCTCTGCTCCTCCCCAGTACAGGCCAGACCACTCCCCACCACAGATGGATCCCTGGGTCCCTCCAGAATGGATGTGGGAGCACAGGGCTGTGATATTGGGTGGGGGGAGGGTTAGACGGGGTCCCTGGGTTATGAAGAGAAGACTCTAGATAGAAACTAGAAATGTTTGGAGTTTAATACCAAAGGTTGAGGACAGGAAATACGGAGTATGGGTTCCCATTGAAGATCTATTCGCAGTGTCAGGAGCGGCAGCAACTTCAGTGATAGCTCAGGGGTGAAGGCTCCAGAGTTGTGGGCAGTGAAAGCCAGAGAGGCTGCAGACTCTGCCAATCTGAACCCAATTGCTCCTCTTTGGGCCTCAGGTGTACAAGCGATACACAGGCTCTACCCTCTAGGTGCCTCCAGAACATAGGGGACACGGAATTGGTCACTAGTGAGTGTTTTCCGTGAGGGAGCAAGCTCAGGGGCCACTCCTATAGATCAGTGGACAGAGTAACGGCCTTGGTACCATCCCCTCAGTCTTAAAAAAGAACCAGAGGATAGCACGTTCTACCAAAGTCTAGAGGAAGGACTTTTCCACATGGCCCGGGGTTCATGCAACAATCAGCATTGCCTATGGACTGGGCTCTATTTTGGGCTCTGAAGACACAGCCATTGACCTTGGTTGATAAACCAATTCCTGTCTCCACAACAATTACACTAGTGGTGCACTGAGGACACACCTAGTTAGTCCTCACAGCAGCCCTGTGGGTAGGCAGATGCTGTCACAGTCACATTACACAGCTGTTCAAAATGAGTATCTGCCCAAGGTCACCACAACAAGGAAAATGGCACAACATCATGTTCAAACTTAGAAACTGGAAAGACCAATTTTTGTAATACAGATTAGAGCACAGCTCAGCACAGGCCCAGATCTGACTGCTGTCAGTGATTGAAGTTGGGACTGCCACCCCGTGAGGTGAGCCAGCCTGACTGACAGGCATCAAAAGGTCGTAGGTTTAAAAGGCCAAGAAACTAGTTTATGATATGATTGTGAAAGTCCCACAGCCAACAGCAGGTAGAGCAGAAACGGGGTGAGGCAGCGCCCCCCCCTTGCCCTCTGTTGTCTGGTGCTGAGTTAGCAGGGAAGGAGCTGTGCATGGCAATAGGCGTTCAGGAGAATGGAGTTTGGAGAAGTAGTTTAAGGAATGTGAGGATTTCCTGGTGATCTAATTGTAGATTTTAAAAGGCTTAAGTAGAAATGGTCTCAGCGTTCATGAGCATCAGAAAACCATGACATCCTTGGTAAAATTGCGGCTCTATTGGTTGGTATTTCATATTTAAGAAGTTAGGCAATTCATATGACTTTGGAAAATTTTGTTTCTATTGTATTGTGCTTGGAAATGGAGACTTCATGAAAAATAAAAATTAAAAAAGTTGAGAGATTTCTGCCTAACTAGAGTGGATTAAACATAAGCTGCAGGATATTTGAATGCTCCTAAATTGGTAATAGAATTTTCATCAATTTGAATCACAAACACTTGAGACCATCCCATTTCTTTTGGAATTCATTTCAAGTAGGCCAGATCCTCACTGCCTCTGTCTTTGCGTCCATGGAGGGGGGTCCAGGCTTGCCTGGTTGCCTGTGGAAGTGCCTATCTGAAGTGGAATGCTGGATGACTGGTGTTTGGTCAGCATCCCAGCTCTGGCTGAGTCACACAGCTCCCATTGCCACCTGTACTCCCCACCCCTTGGAAACATCCAGAGCCTCCTTTGGACAGTGTTTCTCTGTAGTAGTATAAAGAGATTGACGAGATGGCCCCGGAGGGTGGCTGGATGAGTGGATGCACCCATGTGCTCGGGCATTGGTGAAACCTGACACTGTGTGTAAATCTCCAAGAGAGGGTGGGCCTACCCTTGGAGTCCCTGGCCTGTCCAGCTGAGGAGACCAGAAAATGCAGACTCCACTTTTATAGGAGGAAGCGGGAGGGAAAGGAGAAACCACCAGTGGGACCTGCCTCAATGGTGTTGCCCTGGGGCACGAGCATCTCTGCCTAAGGATAACCCAGCCGTAGAAGAGCAGGGAGCTTGAAAATGCCCAGGCTTTTTGGCTTGACCACTGGTATGTCCCTCCACCTCCAGATCTGGCAATAGGCTGAGTTAAATTTTCCTCAGAGGCGATGGTGTCTCAGTTATGGAAAAGCCCGTCTCTCCACCCTCCCAGGTGCCAGCTTTGAGGCACCGAATGTTTCTGTGCACCTGAGCACCTGCTGCGTTCCTGTATATTACCATTTGGGATCTGACCTTCCTAGTGCCAGGGCTCCTCCAGGAAGCCCTCTCTGACCACACCAGGCTGGGTCGCACCGTCTATACGATCCCGCACATCCGGTAGCTTCTTCCTAAGGCCTGACCCCTGCAGTCCTTCCCGGGAGGTCCAGACCGGCCACAGAGCGAAACTCTAAGGCGTATTTGTTTGTTGCTGTTTTTTCTTTCCAAGGCGTTCTTGACCTCCTACACAGGCGAATGTCAGTGCCAAAAGCCATGGGTCCCATGCACAGTCATTGGCCTCCGCGGCACCCACAAACCGACGCAGTATTGAGTCATCTTTTGGCACTGCCCCCTCCTTGCTGCCACCCCACTCCTGGGAGCTAGAAAATGCAGACCATACTTTTCCGGGAGGAGAGAAGTGCGTCTTAAGCAACGGAGAGGCTCCCACTGGGGTTTCCTTGAATGGTGCTACTCTTGTTTGTATCTACA